AAATGTTAAATTATACAAATAATTCCTGATAAATTAAAAGTGACCTTATAAAAAACCAAAACTTACTGACATTTTAAATGTATAATAGAAGGCTATATGGACTCAAGGTAGGAACATATTCCTTTAAAAACACTCAAGAAAGAACCAACAGAACATTTAATAAATTGTTCAAGTTTATCATTAAAAATTTTGGTCCGCAAATTACCCCACCAACAAAGTGATAAAAGTGACAGGAAGAGAATATTTGTCCAGTAACTATGATTCCATTCCTACTGTTCTTTTTAGCAATTATTCTATTTTTCCTGCCAGACACGTGATGAGAATGGCTTTCCTTGCCCACTGCCTACTTAGAACTTGTGTGGCCATTGATTTGCTTTGATCAATGAACTCTGAATCAAATTGACATGTTCCAGAGTGTCATTTCTGGGTCAGAGCTTTAACAGCTATTATTCAATTTGCTTCCATTCTCTTTCTCATGTCCCTGGGGACCAGAGGTATCCTAGACCAGAAAGTGGTTGGTCAGCATGAATCCCAGCATGAGGATGACGGAAAGCAAAGGGCCAGGAGACGTACAGAGAATTTGTATCATGAGTAACATCTAAACCTGTTTGTTTATTTCTGGTTTTATTTTTTTTTCACCATAACATAATTTAATCATATGCTACTTCACAGTTTAGCATAGCTTAACTAATTCAAATTAGAATCAAAACTATGTAACAACACACAAAATATTTTTTAAACTCCAACAAATTGAAAGAAAACTGAATGAGCTATTCACAGAACAGAAATCTCAAATGGTTTAAAACTATATGATACTACATGCACCTTCTAATGCTTTCCTGGTGGGCATCAGTCAGTTTTAATGTCCACTCAGTTTTAGTGTCACACAACCCATGGAACCATATGCATTTCACTGAAATAGTTATCAGCCAATGTATATTTTAAAGTATTTATATTTTTGTCTCTAAAACTCAATAAGCATTTAAAAATGTTAGCTTATTCACAATTTACTGAGATTTAAAATCAATTTTTGTTTGAATCCTATGTGTACTTATAAAAATATGTATTCTAAAAATATGTATTCTTTTTTTAGAGCCCAAGGTCTGATAGATTCTATACAATCTAACTTCATAATCATTGAGAAAAAGAACAAAGCTGAGGTATCACACTCCTTGATTTCAAACTGTACTACAAAGCCATAGTAATCAAAACAGTACAGTGCTGGCACAAAGAAGACACATAAATTAATGGAACAGAATAGAGAGCCAAGAAGTAAACTCATGCTCATAAGGCAAATTAACCTATGACAAAAGACGAAAGAATAAACAATGGGGAAAAGACAGCCTTTTACACAAATGGTTTTGGGAAAACTGGACAGCTCCATGCAAAAGAATCAAACTGGACTACTTCTTTTTTATACTACATCATATACAAAAATAAACTCAAAATGGATCAAAGACTTAAAAGTAAGACCCCAAACCATAAAACTCCTGAAGAAAAGATAGGCATTGACATTGGTCTTAGTAATATTTTTTTGGATATGTCTCCTCAGGCAAGGGAAACAAATGGGACTACATCAAAGCACAGTGAAGGAATCTATCAACAAAACAAAAAGGCCACCTACTGAATGGGAGGAGATATTTGCAAGCCATATATCTGATAAGGGATTAATATTCAAAATATACAAAAAATACCTACAAATCAACATCAAAAAATAAATAAATAACTTGATTAAAACTTAGGCAGTGGCTCTGAATAGATATTTTTTCAAAGGAGATATACAGATGACCAATAAACACAAGAAAAGATACTCAACATCACTAAAAATCAGGGAATTGCAAAGCAAAACCACAGTGAAGTATTACCGCACACCTGTTAGAATGGCTGTTATCAAAAAGACAGCAAATAGCAAGTGTACTTGGCAAGGATGTCTGTAAAAAGAAACTTTTGTGCACTGCTGGTGGGAATGTTAATTGGTACTGCCACTATACCAACAGTATGGAGGCTCCTCAGAAAATTAAAAATACAACTACTGCACAATCCAGCAACTCCACTCCTGGGTATTTATCCAGAGAAAATGAAAACATTCATTTAAAAAGTGTGTTTCTATTCCTCCTTTCATATTCAGTAGCCTCTGTTTTATGGAAGTTGCTCTTTTATCCTTGGGTACATACATATAATAACTATTACGTTTCCATTGTTAGTTGTAGATTTTAGTGTTGCAAATTTCCTTCCATAACTATTTGATTGGCTTTTGATCTCACATTTATCTTATCATATATGAAGAGATAGAGGCTTGGCCCCACTATCTTTTCTAGGCAATGGCTCTGGAGCTTCCTCTAGTAGTCCTCTCTGTCCCCATCTTTGTCTGAAATTTTCTTTCTCCATTGTCCCTACTGTCTCCAAGAGTGATAGACGTCTCCTGGATGGGAGCCTAGGTTGGTTAGTTTTGTGTGATTTATAGTAATCAAATTATTCTAGCACCATTGTTTTTTTACCAGAGTCTCCTTATAATTACATGGGAATTGAAGCCTGGAAAAATTCTTTCCAATTTTAGTTGCTCTTCTTAGATTCTTTTGCCAAAGTTTCCAGTGAGTTCATTTGACAATATTGGGGCATTCTGACACTCATGGTAGAATGCCTAACTCACATACAGATGTTGACAAAAGCCCATCACGTGTCAACACAAGACAACTTTACTGTGTGCAAATTAGATGCTACACTCAAAGAAACTGGTGATCAATATGCCATGTTCCTAATATTTTACAATGCACTATAGCATTTTTACACAGAATGCTGATATTTAGTAATTCTTTACTATTATAAAGCAGGAAATTTAAACTCACTAGTGATCAATAAAATATACATTAAAAAAATAGTAAAAAATACCAGATTGGCAAAGACCAAAGTCTAGCACCACCAGTCGTTGGTGGGAATGTGGATCTATGGCAACACTCATACATACACTATTTGAGGGATAGATACTTGTACAAATATTTTGGAGAGCAACTTGACAATATCTAATCAATTTTAAGACACATGTAACTGACTAAAGAATAAATCCCCCTACTAAGTTAATAATTTATATAAAATTTTGAATGTATCTTAAAGAGAAAGATGTTTTAAGAGCTTTATTGGAATTATTCTAACAATGAATAATTCAAAACAACTTATACTTTTCTACACTTTAAAATAATACAAAAATAAATTGTACCATGCTCTAATACAATAAAGAAGTTTTCTGAGCTGATTTCTCTTTGACTGATGTCTGCAAACCAGCAAACACTGGCTGCCCAGTAAGAGAATGGCTCTTGGACACATAAGACATTGTATTGTCCTCATTCAGTTTACTTTTTTAAGACATTTCCTTTCAAGAAGGTCTCAGCTGACACCAATAAACCCCTAAAATGGAAGGTGTGGTCCTGGATATACAGAGAAGTCTTGATAATATGAAAGGGGCTATTCCACCCACAATTGTCTACATCTCACAGGGCATCTTCTCAGTCAACTTGGCTACAGGAGGCCTTCTCTACCTTTCAAACCGGATCAATCTCAAAATCTTGAGTCAGTATTAGCAGCCACGATTTCTTTAGTAATTACCATGAGCTTAGCATTAGGCTAAGTTCTTTGAATGTATTATCTCATCCTAAAACAACCTTATGGCATGACCTGCATATTTAAAACAGGTGCATTTTTTAGGGCAAAGGTCAGTTAAGTAACTTGTTATGCAAATGAGTGGCAGAGCAAAAATTTTACCTAGGTATTTTGTTGTTTTTGATGCAATGGACATATTTATGCCAGACATAAAATTCTGGTTTTTGAAGTGAAAAGAAAAAAAAAAAGTGAATGAAGGGCTGCAAATGGCAAAATATCCCCTTTCTTATGGGTGAGTTGTATTCCATTACATATGTATGTTGCATCTTCTTTATCCATTCATCTATTGATGTGCACTTATGATGCTGCCACATCTTGGCAATTATAAAGAATGTTGCTGTTAATAGCGAGGTGTATATATCATTTTGAATTAATTCTTATTTTGTGTTTGGCTTTATTCCTTTGATAATTATGTAAGTTTAAAAAGCTAAAGCTATAACGCTCTTAGAAACAATGAGCAGTACATATATGTAAATTTTTAAAAATATGTGCAGTATATTGTGTATCTGTATTTACATGTAATATATTGTATATGTACAGTCAAATTTTAACAATTCTATTTAATAAAACTGAAAAAATGAAAAAAAAATTACCTAGGAAATCTGGCTTCTGTACTTTTCCAGTGATTCTTGTTACCTTAGTTCTCTGATTGCCACTTAGAACCCACTTTTAAAAAACTCTTCATAGATCTTTGTACCCTGCTCTCAGCTTTAAGTATGACAATAGTGAAGTTGTAATCTTTTCAGTGAGAGTTTGGGACTATGGCTTTCTGCTTAATGTCTAACACTGGGAAGAAGGTAAACCTGGACCAGGCACAAGTTCCTGGAGCTCTGAGTTTGTCAAAGACATGTGACGGTTACCAACAGCCTCTGTTAGGATCTATATTAAAGGCTGAGAGGTGTAGCAGGATGCACATAGCAGTGTCCTCTATTGGAAGTCCCCTACAGTGCTATATAAATACCTTCCTGGTATTTGTATAGAATCATTTGGCCACTGTCTTTGCCAGCCCTGGATGTCATGTGAATGCCATGAATTGTGTATCCTAAGCAATAGAAATTTATTTCTCACAGTTCAGGAGGCTGCAAAGTCCAAGATCAGAGTCCCAGCATAATAGGATTCTGGTGAGAACCTTCTTCCTGGCTCGTAGATGGTCTTCTTGTGATGTCCTCACATGGCAGAGAAAGACAGAGAACAAGCTCCCTTGTGTCTCTTCTGATAAGGCACTAATTCCATCAAGAGGGCCCCACCCTCATGAGCTCATCTAAACAGAATTAACTCCCAAAGGTCCCACCTCTAAAAACTATCATATTGAGAATATGAGTTGTGGAAATCATAATTCAGTCCAGAGCAGTCACCGGGCCTCATGCACCATAGGGTTCTCAGCCATCAGCTTTTCATGGTCGGCTACTTAAACTCAGCCAGAGCAGGTTGTTCACGGGCACCAGCTTTTTAACAAGGATGTTCCAATCGTTGCCCTGCAGTTGCTCACATAGGGCTCTCAGAGGCTGTCAGGGTTTGCAGCCATAAATCCAAGGTAATAATATAGATCAGTTTCTAATATAGTGGAAAACACATACTGGTCCTTAAAATAGTCATCAGTCCTCATTCTTCTAGTCCATAATCGGCAGTTATTTTTCTTTTTGGTTTCTTAATATCTATAATTTGGGTATTTGCTCCAACTTGTATTCCTTTGAGGCTAAGATGTGTAGCCTCATGGACTAAATTCTCCCCTCAAGATTATCAGATGCCTGGTTTCTAACACATTAGATTCTTGATTTTTGAACAAATCTTAATAGTTTACTTGTGAAATATCCCTCCCATCTGAGAGGAAGCAATAGAAATTCACTTTTAAACAGTATTAAATAAGAAGCCAACACTGCCTTTTATTCTACTTCTGTTCATAAGGTTTGACTTCATTACTGAGTTTGAAGCCCCTGGGCTTTATTTTATTGCTAGATCTTGGCCTGTGCTCTACAAATTGGCATATAATTTAGTAGTAGAAAGCCTCTGGCTATTTTGCTTTATCTTTTAGTGGTTTAGGAGATGTAAAGTGCCCAGAACAAAGACTCTGTAGCGGCTAACTTCCTTCTCTATTACAAAAAGTCATGCAGACATTCTCCCTACACAGGCTTCTCATCCTGTTTGACCTGCCTTCTCCAGCTGTCCAAATAATAGGACTCATGGAGCCTCAGATCCAGAGTTACCAGTAGGTTAATACGGATTTTATCACAAATGTGTCCTCTCCTAGCCAAGCATGAGAACTCTAGGGAAGTGACCATTTTCCTTGTCTTTGTGTCTCATATAATGACTTGTGAGTATTGTCTGATTTCAGGAGAGGAATCAGAAGATGAGTTCACTTTATCATATATTTTGTAGAATGTAAAAGTTTTCCTCCCTGGATTTGCATGAGTCACAGACATTGTTGGTACAATTAAGCCATTATTACAAGATAACATTCCTGTTGAGTCTACACCAAACACTGCTTGAAAATCTCTTACAGTATTTTGGGCGCTCTAACTAAATCTTCAGAAATGATCTACTTGTAGCCAGCTTGTCTATGCATAGATGATATATTTTGAAAGGACAGGCTGTTGTATTTTAATTCTGCAGGCAGCAAACAATAACTCTAGTAGATAATCTTTCTAGGGACTATATGCCATTTAGCATGTATCACCTTATTTAATTCTATGAGATAGGTGTCATTGTTCCCATACTCTACATCTATGGAAACGACTTCTTATAATTTTAGGAAATTTCTAAGATTAGATGGTTAGTAAGAGGATTTAGATACTGATAGTCTGACTGCAGAGATCACTCTCATTTGCTTCTATTATCTATCAGTACATCCATATGGGGTAAGATGTTAAACGTACAAATTCTTGATTACACTCACTTCTTGACTACTGCAGAATTTGATAATCTACAGTTTTAAAAGTTTACCTTGTAATTCTGCCCACTGCAAAGTATTAAACCTCTGATTTATGAGATTTAAACGTTCCCTTTGCAGTTCCCTTATGGGCATGCGTCTTCAGGTTATTGAAAGCTCAGTCTCATTAAAACTTATCACTTTTCACCATTCTCATTCATCATATTTTAATATTATAAATCTATTTCAGCTATTGCATGTAAACAAACCCTGCTCCTAAGCTACGAGAAAGACTCTTCTTTTGAAGGCTGGTAAATATCTGTGTAAGTGACGCATTCATCATCAAAAGGTCACAGCTCCAAAGGGTGTGAAGGGGGAGTTAATCTGGGGAGCTTTAGCTGAAATACTGCTCTCTAGTTAATGGGTGCTGGGCTGTCACTGTTAGAAAGTAAAAGTGCTGTTATTCTGTCATTCCTGTGGTGGCTGCGACTGCTGAAATGGACATCTGCTCACAAATTGAAGCACTTTCTTAAAAAAAAAAAATTGGCCTTGACAATTTAGTAGAAATATATGAGCTAGAGAGATTTAAAATATAAGCTTGAGAAAGTTAGTGTAGTTTATTAGGAAATATAGAACATGGTTGTGGAATATCCATCTTTAGGGGTAGGGTGGTCATTACCATGCTTAGTCCTGAACCTAACACGTGGCGGCGCTGACAGGAGCGGCAGTGGCACTTTGATTTCCTGATGATCAATTTCTGCATCTATTGCCTGATGACATTTTTTTTCACATTTCTGAATTTATATGGCAGAAAAGCATAAAAATATATATTGCATTCCCTTCATTCATTTTGTATTTATTTTTGGCATGTTTGAATGAAAACTAAGATTTGGGAACCAGATATTTCAAAAATCAGGAAACTCGAGAAAAACACTTGAAGAGAATAAGAAGGTACCCCTACCTACATTTTTCTGAAGACCTAAAATTTGTGTATTCCAGAGCCTGACACAGAGTAGGAACTGAAAATGTTTCAGAATAACTGAATCACAGTCTCCTTATTTGGAAACAATAATTCTCTTCATTTTCTTATAACCCCACTTCTATTACCCCCTTTTCTTTTATCTTTTTTATCCAAAGCTATTTTTATTTATTTTGAACACATCCCTTTACATAAAATTTTTACTGGTATGAGGAACTTCAGATTGTATAATGTGATCAGGTTTTTACCTTTTCATCAAATTCCTAGCTAATATTTTAGCTAATCTATTGGTAATGACAAATTTTTGTGAGCAGCCTGTGAGCTATTAGTCAATTGTTAATATCAGGGAGGTAAACAAAATCTTTTAATAAATAGTTTATTTAGACCTAGGACCTTTCAATGTTACCTTTGCCTAAGTTTCAGGTACTCCTTCCTGACTAAAAAGGAATTATTTTCTAATCCCTTCAAAATCTGAAATTTCCTGACTGTCTTTTTTATTGCTTTTATTTTTATGAAAATTAAATATTGTCTCCTCCCTTATCTAACTCAATAAATATTTTTGAACCCTATTATGTGTATCACTCTCTGCTACTCAGAGGAAACATACAGACAAATGGACTGCCCTTGCCTGTGCACAGTATGGTAGCCTTGAGAATAATGGTCCCTAAATGATGTTTACACCCTAATCTCTAGAACCTGAGAATATGTTTACCGATAGTTGAGGCTTTGAAGATGTTATTGATGTTATGGACGTTGAGATGAGAGATTACCCTGAATTATCTAGGTGAGCCCAACCTAAACACCTGAGTCTTCAAAACCAGAGCATCTTTCAGGGCGGTGGCCAGGGAGAGCCAGAGTTAGGGAGCAGGGGAAATAAGAGACACAAATATGCAAAAC